TTAACGGCTAAGACCCACTATGCCACGCCCTTTGTAGCAAACCACCCCCAATCCCTTCGTATCCCATTAGTGAGATGTAAGTTCCGCCCGAGGAGATTCTTTGCGTGAATCGCTGCTTTGGGGAACTGACTCCTCGATCACTATAATTTTAACCTGTTTAACTTAACTGTTATCATAAACTGTTCCTCTTACTTCTTACTCTGCTACACTCTACCTTGTGCGGTTCTTGTGCCTTTTATAAGATGAACATATAGTAGTCTTATATCACACAAATTCTACCTCATTAAAATTCTACCTCCATTAAGTTCTACCTCATTAAATTCTATCTTATTAAATTCTACTTCATTAAATTCTAGCCCATCAAAATTCTACCTCATTCAATTCTACCCCATTAAGTTCTACCTCATTAAAGTGTAACCAATTAAAATTCTACCTCGTTAAATTATATCCCATTAAGTTCTACCTCATTAAATTCTAAACCATTAGAATTCTACCTAGTTAAATTATGTTTCATTAAGTTCTACCTCATTAAATTTTTCCTCGTTGAAAAAAAAAACAGCCTATCCTGTTTCTGATTGATTGGTTAATTTATTTTTATTTAACCGATAAATCTTTATCGCTTAAGAAACAAAAACAAATGACACCCATGCATGCGGGTCAGGCAGTACTAACAAATCAGCCATCGACAAATTAAGCCCCATAACGTGAATCTTATCAAATGCGTAACCCGGAACCAATCAAGCGACGTCAATTACCTCATTAGAATTCTACCTACATTAAATTCTACCGCATTAAAGTATCCTAATTAAATTAGAATCCATTAAAATTATACCCATTTAGATTTACACTCAGTAACTTTTAGCTGATTATTATCAAACTCAGTGAATTTCTACCCCCGTTAAATTCTACCTCCAATGCAAAACAATAAAACAATATTAATTATAAAATTAATGGTCTAAGAATCATTAAACGTCGTTCAGCCTCAATTCTATATGGGACATCATCAAAATCTAAGAGGTTATCACTAATTATTGATATAATTTTTCTGTTCTATTTTTTGTTATATTAACGACTCTGACACTTTCTTATATGTTAATGGATACATAATGGCCTTCCACTCTTTTCTCACTGGGCAAACTCTTCTGCTACGGCAGCTTATTCAATCCTTGTTGCAGACAACAACACAGGCAGATTTATGTTGATTTAGCACACCAACAGTGACCACTTGTCGTTTATACTGCAACTATGTTGAGGAGACCTTGCTTACAGTTTCTGGCAGAGAGTGCATGATATACATCCATCCCCCCTATGTATATACTGGACTCTGCCATCGTTTTCCATGTATGAGGGTCAAGCAGCTCAGTTCTTAGAATCAGACTACCCGCAAATATCATCTGATTATAAATGTAATGGTGAAGACATGTACAGAACAAACACCAAACCTTTTGAAAGAGTTCAATACAGAGAACTGGGGCACAGTATACCAAAAGATCTCCAAATGACCGTCCGCATGTTTTGAATCCAGAGTTGGTCTTCTCCTAAGCTGATTGCTATCCAAGGCTATAGAACCCAGTCTGTCCTGCTATTTACACGTATCTAAGGGTGGATGGATTCATACCTTTGCCAATGGTATTAGAATGTAAATATATATATATATATATATATATATATATATATATATATATATATATATGAGATAGTTATTGACTTCCAGCTTACATAAGAAGATAATTAGGGCCTTCAAATACTTAGGCCTTAAAATTGAAATATCTTCCAACCTGAAAATAGTCAACTTTTTGGATATTACACTCAATCTATCGAATAATACCTTTAAACACTCTAACCACCCTAAACATGTGATAGATCACATCCCCAAAACTGTGAATACGAGAATAAATAGGCTATCTTCTAGCCAAAAAATCTTTAATGATAATAAATTTATATACAATCAGGCCCTCAAAAATAGTGGTTTTAGACAAGAATTAAGCTTTAATGGAGAACTTGTAAATCAGAATAATAGCAAAACTAAGAACAGGAAAAGGAAGGTAATATGGTTCAACCCACCATATTGCAGACTCTCTAACATTGATATAGGAAGTTTCTTTCTGAAATTAATTGATAAACATTTCCACAGTAAGCATCCACTACGTAAAACTTTCAATAGGAAAAATCTAAAAATTAGTTACTCATGCGTTAGAAATATAGAGAAAATCATATCTTCCCATCATTGCAGAATACTTAGAAACTACCACAGTAATGGAACTCAATCTAGTAACCCTACCTGCAATTGTAGGAATAAAGACCATTGTCCAATCGGGGGTAAATGCAAGTATGAAAACGTAATATACGAGGCAACTATCTTTCCTGAGAAAAATATAAACGAGAAAAAAAGATACATAGGTATATCCGCCGGTGATTGGAAGCAGCGTCTATACAACCATAGACGCTCATTTAGATATAGATGCCCAGTAGACAGACTTCCTTATCCAAACACTACTGGGAACTGGTGGATAAGGATTAAAAAATTTTAAAATGGAGATACCTGTCTAGAAAAAGAACACCTAATAATTTCCGCGATCGGTGTGATCTATGCATGGCGGAAAAATCTTCATTATCAAAGATAAGAATCGAGATGAGCTGCTGAATCTTCGGAATGAGATATTCTCTAAATGTAGACATAAGAAACGTTTCAAAACATGAACACCGTTTTGTAACATGTTGTCACTTATGTCAGCTCCATTTTAGTCCAATAACATCGGGCATGGCATTTTAATGGAATGACTATTATGTTTATTATGTTTATCTGTAAATGTATCATTGTGCACGTTTATGTGATGCGCTATGTATTTTATATATATATATATATATATATATATATATATATATATATTTTACACGCGCAAATGTTTGAATCGTTACTTATTTAGATTTTAACTTTATATATATATATATATGTATCTATATGTGTATTTATGTGCATGTGTATGTATGTGTATATGTATGTATGTGTATATATGTATGTATATGTATGTATGTGTATATATGAATGTATATGTATGTATGTGTATATGCGGATATATGTGTATATGTGTGTATGTGTATATGTTTTGTGTGTATATATGTACGTATGGAGGTGTTTATGTATGTAAGTGTATATGTATAAGTGTGTGTATGTGTGCATATGTATTCATGTATGTGTGTGTATATGTGTGTGTATGTGTATATATATGTATGTGTGTGTATGTATTAGTATGTGTGTATATATATATATGTATATATATATATATGTATGTATGTGTGTATATATGTGTATGTGGGTGTGCGTGTATGAGAAAAGTGTGTGTATATGGATATTGATGAATATGTGTATGTGTGGATATGTGATTATATATTTTTTATATTTTTATATTTTTTATATGTGTGTACACGTATGTATGTGTGTGTGGGGGTACACGCCTACGTGGATGTATATACATGTATATGTTATTGTGTGTATTCACATGTGTCTTTGAACATAGAAATATAGGTCCTTGCTAGATTAGACAATCGTTATATTTATCTTCATATATTTATATTTGATTTGTAACCTGTAGTCGATATTAAATTTGTCAAATTTTCTCAATTACAAAGCGGCCCTTTAAGTAAATGCAATTTTACTTTCCTTCGTCCCATCTCTCCCCTACCTCCTCTTTCCCTTCCCCTCCCTATTATTCTTGCATTAAATTGTCGATGGTGTGTGTATGTCACCACGAAATGTATCTTTATGCATTAGACATCCGTCGACATTCATTCTCTTCTCTTATCTAAAACCCTCCCCACCACCTCTCCTAAAATTCTCTCTGTTAAGGTTCAATCTCTCCCCCCTCCTCATATTTACACTTTCTCTAAATTCTGTTTTCACTTCCGGAGTGTTTTTTTTCTGTTTTCATTTTGAATTTGTAGGTCTGATGAATTGGATCGTATTTACGATTCCAATGGAATAAATTGTGACCATGGAATATTAGTGTTTAAGCCTTTTTATTATCTATCTATCTATCTATCTATCTATCTATCTATCTATCTATCTACACACACACACACACACACACATATATATATATATATATATATATATATATATAACTATATATATATATATATATATATATATATATATATATATATATATATATATATATATAAATCAGTAACAATATTACGGAAATGTATGACAAAGTGGATAAAGTTTTCAAGGGACTTCATCGGATAAAATTTCCATACCTGATGATGTCTGTATGAACAGATGAAAGTACGAGCAAAACAAAAATACCTTATACAAGTTGAATTTATTAAAACAGAGATCACAACATTCATCTACAGGTTCGTGGGTTAATGTCATTTTAATAAATTTGTTTGCGAAGATGTATTGTCGCCATTTATATCATTAACTTCACTAATCTGTTTTTTTTGTGTGAATGATTCATGTAATATATATATATATATATATATATATATATATATATGTGTGTGTGTGTGTGTGTGTGCGTGTGTGTGTATGTGTGTGTGTGTTAGAATTTCTTGGCAAGGCACTGGTACCTTTTAACAGACACAATAAAACCATTTAAAACCACTTGTATTTATCCCGTGTTTATACATACACACACACACACACACACACACACACACACACACACACACACACACACATATATATATATATATATATATATATATATATATATACGTTTGAGCGATATGTCAACAACCTGTAGACTTGAAAATCATATGCCAGATTAGTTCCATATGGCGTTTCTTTTCCGTATCAGCGATCGGATTGTCAATTCTGACAAGACTTCAAAGTGGAAACATAGGACAAGGCAAAAGGGAAAAGGATATTGTAGAAGTCCATCTTTAAAGAAATGCAGTTACCCGATTCTCCGTTAAACTCAGTCGGTAAAATAAATCAAGTGATACACTCAGCCCCCCCCCACCCCACTGTAGACGCGTTCGATTCTGCTCGTCTAATCATAAAATGCCATGTGCCTCGATTTCACATCGCCCAACAGGGACCTAAGCCGACATATTAGGCGCCCAGCGGGGGGGGGGTAAGAGAGGGGGAGTAAGAGAGGGAAGTAAGAGAGGGAGAGTAAGAGAGGGAAAGTAGAGAGGGGGGGGGGAGAAAAAGGGGGGGAGTAAGAGAGGGAAAGAAAAAGAGAGGGAAAGTAAAGAGGGGGAGTAAGAGAGGGAGAGTAAGAGGGGGAAGTAAGAGAGGGAGTAAGAGAGGGGGTAAGAGAGGGAGAGTAAGAGAGGGAAAGGAAGAGAGGGGGAGTAAAAGAGGGGAGTAAGAGAGGGAAAGTAAGAGAGGGAAAATAAGAGAGGGAAAGTAAGAGGGGAAAGTAAGAGGGGAGTAAGAGAGGGGAGTAAGAGAGGAAAGTAAGAGAGGGGGGAGTAAGAGTGAGGGGGAGCCTGGATTTGCATCTGGTTCGACGATTCGTGAATTGAATCCTCAATTCCAGTGGAACAACTATCATTGTTTTTTTTTTTTTTTTTACTTTCGCCAAAAAAATGTTCTTTACAAAGGTTGTTGGGATCAAGAATACACCGAATCCATCTGACACGCTGAGGGGCAACCTACATCAAAAAAGGAGACACCATTTACCCCACACCCTTTCTCTACCATTTTTTCTCCCTTGCAAAAAACAAAACAAAAAAAAACCTTCGTCTAACTTTTCACTCTTCCATAGCAAACCTAGACCAACCTTTTCGAGCCTTGTGCAGACCAAACCTATTTCTACCTTTTAGACTGTCGGGCAAACCCACCCTCCTTCTATCTTTTGGGATCCCCTGCAAAGCAAACATATCAAACTTTCTTTCCTTTCTTCGTGCAACCCTAACTTACAGCTAATTCTATCTTATAGATTTACAAGTCTACCATTCCTCCATGCTTTGAATATTGCTACCACATATGGGCTAGTGCTCCTGCTATACATTTAAAGATTCTTGACAAAATCTAAAGAAGAATCTGCAATTTTATTGATCCTGGCCTGGCATCTCACCTTCAGTCACATTCCCATCGCCGTAATCTAGCTAGTGTTGTACAGAGTGGCCCGAAAGTCTTGTCACACCCTACCATAAATTAATGAGCACAAAAGAATAAGTAATACAAAGCGTATGTACTGGATTCAGTTTATTTTTTTTCACATTCATTGACGCTGTCACACTCCGAGAAGGTCTGCATGAATAGCATCATTAGAAATAGAAAATTATATTTTGTAGGGTATGACAAGACTTTCGGACCACCCTGTACTCTACATCATCCAAATCGACTCAAAACTAGGTTTATCTACACAGTGGTCCGAAAGTCTTGTCACCCCTACCAAAACGTAACGATAACAATACAGTAATACAGTAATACAAAGCAAGGAGAGACTCAGAACTCTAGAAGCGAGTTCAATCTACAGAGTGGTCCGAGATTTATGTCACCCTCTATCAAAAAGTAATTAGAATAATAGAATAATTCATACAGTAACACAAAGGGTATGTACTGGATTCACCTTATTCACTTTCATTGACGCTGTCACACATCGAGAAGGTCTGTGTGAACACCATTTTCGTGGCGGCTGTCTGAAATAGATGATTATATTATGTAGGGGGTGACAAGACTTTGTCACTGTTTTCATCTCCTGTCTCTAAATTAAGATAATGCTTCAAGACAATTCGTAGATAGCAATAAATTCATTTATCTGTAAAAGACAGAAAAGAAAATATATATTATGTCAGCAAAAGAAAACTGAATGTATGGCGATCCGCAAAAGAGATGACCCAAGCTGTAAACTATAAAGTGGGAACAACAAAATCAACCGACCAAAGCAAATATCCGAAGGCACACAGGAATAGCGAAAGACGTTTTCCAGAATCTAAGCAAAGTATTAAGAGATAATTTCGTTAAGAAAAAAAAACAAAGAAAAGAATGCTTTCCTATCCTTTGTGAGTGTGAGTTAACGTTTTCTTTGGTGGGTGGGGGCAGACGCCAAAATAACGTAGGTATCGAAATTTAAAAATTCATAGATAATAATTATATTATATAGGTGTGACAAGATTTTAGGACCACCCTGTATATATTTAAACGCAGTACTACAGGATGATCCGAAAGTCTTGTCACCACCTATCAGTATCGTCCTCTTCGGAGGGGCTAGTTTGCCAAATCTTGCAGTAAGGTCATGTCGCACATCCTCCATGCTCTTGCCAGAATGCACATGATAATGTGTCCATACACTTGCAAACAGCCTCTCTTCCAAACAGTAGGAACTCGTGCCAGCCAAATGAAGTAGAAAATTAACATACATTAAGATTTAAAAAAAAAATATGTATGGATGACAAGACTTTCGGACCACCTTGATTTTTTGTCAACGGGAAAAACATCTGTCAGAAGACAGGTTTTTTCAAAATGACTTTTCACAATTATGTCTGGTCGACTATTTACATTATTCAGACTGTTCTCATCTTTGTTGCAATATTTAT